TCGAATTTAACGATTATAGATGTTGATATCAATAAATCGTACAATGTGGACTAATTCTTTCATTCCGTCTGGAACTTTCATAGTTCTATTATATGCACCCTTTTTGTTTGTTCCTTGTTTTAATGGAACCTGTAGAAGATTTGCAATTTCTGTCATGTTTAATTATAAATAAAAAATAAAAATTAATTATAAAAAAGTTATTCGAATTTAATGGAACCTTTATTTAAATCAACTATTATTTTTCCATGTTCTCCTAATTGTTGATATTGTGTGTAAAGTTCATTAATGCTCATTGGTAAATTCACTTGATAAAGCATAACGTTCAACTGTTGACGACTAAAACCACTGAAAATGAAAAGGGTGGACAGGTTTGATTTAATGTTTGTGCTTAATGCTTTAAAGTATTGAACAGCCATAAAGAATGAACATTGAATATGTCGACATTGAGTTAATAATTGATTAAAATATGATTTCTCATTAGTTATTAGTTTTGATTTCACGGCATCATCTAGAAAAATTAGTGAATGCAAAAATTCTTTATCAAAATTTGAAATAGAAAGTGTTTCAAATAATTCATCCCGTTGTTTATCAATAATTTTATCCTCTAATCCTTGCTTCTTGATTGTATTATATAATTCTTTATACATTAAAAAGTTTTTTAAATAATCTTCTGCTTCTTCTTGTGATAAATAAATAATTGGAATTTTGATTAAATGCTTTAAAGATTCAAATGTATCATCTGAAGGTGAACCTGAACGGTTGATATAAATTAACACATGTGAATAGGGGGAAGTGTTAGCAATAATGATAATTTGTTTTAATATCGTTAATGTTTTACCTTTATTTTGTTTACCAATTGCTGCAGTGATTGAATTTAAGTAACATTCAGAATATGGAATTTTCATTAATTTTTCCTTAGATAGAGCATTTCTATTATCACTCAATGCTTCATTAATCATATCATCTACGTATGTATTATATACTCCTGCTAATTCTTTCATAAGGGGTGGATGAATTTAAATCCATTTAATCAAAAATAAATTTATAATTTTAAACATTTCTATTCATCAATATTTCATCATATGAACTTCTATACTGTGGTGGTGTACCTGTTGGATGATATTTCAAACCTTCATCCGGTGTCCATGTCCAATATGTAGTCCTAGTAAACCAAACCTGAGGAGGATTTGTCACCTTTGAACAGTAAGTGTCATTTTCACCCTGAATGATTGGATAAGCTTTCACTTGTACTGTAACTTGTGAGTTGAAAGTTTCTAATCCATCAAAGAATATACCCGCTCCATCACGTTGAACTGGAATAGTGCATAAGAATGAAGTTTGGTCTTTCCATGTTCTAGCTAATGGCGTGCCATCATCTGCATTCAGTGGTCTAGTTAATGAGTCCTCGTATTCTTCTGTGCATTCATTCACTCCATCTAAATCAGAAGCTTGAAGCATACGTGTAAAGAATATGTCACCCACTGTGGTCATCGCTTGATCGGGGAAGTTTCTGGAATCTATAGTGACCTGAAGACCTCGAAGCATTGGATTTTCTAAAACCGTTCTTTGCATTGCATTCTTCGGAAATGTTAACAACAACATCTGTAACATTATGAAGAGCGTATGAGAAATCTGAGTTAATACCTTCAGGAGTGATGCAACCTCCATTTAGTGAACGAACGTCAATATGTTGAGCTGGAATCATGAATGGATCTTCCTTACTAAATAAACGTGGTATTGCTTTAACTGATTCTTCAATTAAACCGTATCCTGGTGTAATACATTTATCCTCTAAAACTTCCATCTTTGTGCATGAAATAATAACGTCCTCAACTGTTGCGTCAGCAGATGTAGCGGCTAAGCTTGTAATTAATTTGGTAGGAAGTCCGATTTGTTGGAATTTGCGATCATATTTATAAACATGATTCATAATCTTTTCATAATTTTCATCAGTTATCTTTTCATAAACGTAATTTTGTAAATCAGCAACTCTTAACGGGTCAACCTGACAAAATACTAAAGTATCCCTGAAAACATAATATTTAAGAATGATATCACCAAATGATTTAGGATAATCATCGAACGCCTGAAATGCTAACAAATCATTTACCGGAATAATCATATCAAAAGTGACATCAACTTCTTCATTTGCTTTCTTGAAAACTTCTGAAGGGTCAATATATTTTCCACATACTGAGTTATCATATTTTTGAACATTATTATATAACGAATGAACAAACTTTTTAACTTTCCTTTCTGATTTCGGTTTATATGTTGCAAATGCGAAAGATTCACGGGCGCAATCCATCTGAAGATAACCGGCATCACCTCTTTCGGTTTCTACTTCTAATTGTTTAAAGCTTTGATTTGATGATTTGTAACCAACGAATAAACGCATGCATTTAAAAGCGACATCACATGTGAAAGCTTTATTTGAAACTAGAGTTGCTTTAACTTTGCGTTTAATATATGTGTCACCTAATTGGTTCACATCATGAGCTGGATTTGTAATTCTTAAATGAGTTTGTTTATCATCAAAATATGGAGTATCAGAGTCATAGCATGAACTTTCAAGTTCTCTATAATATCTTCTACCGTCATTCTTTGCAAATATTTCATTTATCTTTTCGAATGAATGAAATACATTTCCATTAATTGGTTTGGTGTTTGGCACCAAATAGTTAGTCGTCATTTATTAATAAATAAAAAATCAAAATTAAAAGATGAAAATGAATTTTTAATTTTAATGAAATAATCAACTATGGCTGCAGGATTCTTTAAAAAATTATGGGATAAAGTAAAAAGAGGAGCGAGTAAAGTTTGGGAAACAATGAAGAAAGGAGCAAATTGGATATTTAAGAATAAAGAAGCAATTAGTGACGTTGCTGAATCAATAACACCAAAAGCTGCCCCAATAAGAGAAATATTAAATAAAGGAGAAAAAGTTTATCAAAGACTTCAACCGATACTAAGATAAAAATAATATTTATTTATTTTTCCACTATCTACCTCCTATTTTATTAAGTATTCCTTCAGCAATTCCACCAACTGCGTTACCTGCTTGTGCTCCCATCGCCGGATTACCTGCTTTAGCACCTAATACTCCACCTATGATAGTTCCTGCCGTTTTCGCTACTGGTGCCAAAAAGTTTGCAATGGGTTTAATAATCTTTTGATGAACCCAACCCGCAGCTTTCTTAATTCCATCCCATAATTTTTTAAAGAATCCTGCAGCCATTTCTGATTTAATATTAATTAAAAAATATATTTCATCACTTATATTCTAATTTTTATTTAATGATAAATGAAACCGATTTTAAAAATAAATGAAACAGAGGAGGAAGAAATAAATGAAAGTGAAAATGTTCAACAAAAAATAAACGTTGTTAAACCAATTACTGAAATAAAAAACTTTTCATCTGTTGAAGAATTTAATGACTATTATGCTAACAATAAAAAATTATTTGAAGAATTGACAACGTGTAAATTGAATAAAATGTTTAAAGTTGATGGATTCAAAATTTCAAAAATAAAAGGAGTGGTTAGTTTGAAATCTATTCCTCAATCAAGAATCACCTCATTAATGAAAATAGATGATTTAACAAAAAGAATAGAAATTATTGAAGAGCGAATAAATCAAATTATTGATTTCATAAATTCAAATAATCATTAGTTTCTTAAAGTTCTATGTTGAACTCATCAAATTCTTCTTCATCATTACCATTACTCTTTCAACTCTATCTTTTGATAGTCTTGCGTTTAATTTTTCGTAAGAAGTTTATTTTTTATTTCATTATGGTAGTGAATCTTTTACTCGTTTATGAGGTCTTTGATTATGACTCCATTGATTCCATTCAGGATTTAAACAATGTTTAATTAATCGCGGAATATCTGACATCATCTATATATAGCTTCTTTTATTTCATTATGTTTGGGCTGAGTGTAAATGTCTTACAATTTTGAAAATTTTTTAAATCTTGATTTATTCAAAAACGTAAGAATAAAAACCGTAAGAATCATACATTTTTACTTCATATGTTAAAAAAAATGATACAAAATCGTTCAATATTGTATGAATTCTTACGTTTACAAAAAAGGTCACACACCCCGCTATATATACTACTAAGGATAAACCTCAAAATTTACGAATATAATGAGTGGGAATATAATGCTTATCTATCATAAAACCATATGAAATATCAATTTTTGCTTTACGCCTAATTTTTGACGACAATTAGCAAAAAATGTTAAATGTTAACACTCAGTCCATTTGAATATGAAAAATAAAATTGACTTTGATTAAATGTTTTTATTTATCATGCAATTCTTCTTGCGACCAAAGATTTGAATAAAATTTCAAAAAATAAGATAGCTTAAAAAATAATATACGGTAGTGTTTACTAATAGATGAATAGTATATAAATTCTATTAAAATGGATTTGATCCAAAAAAATATATAAAATTTGATCATAAATAAAATCGTTTTAAATTACTTCTTCATTTAAATTATAACAATTATTTTTGGTTTTATATTTTTTTGGATCAAATCCATTTTAATAGAATTTATATACTATTCATCTATTAGTAAACACTACCGTATATTATTTTTTAAGCTATCTTATTTTTTGAAATTTTATTCAAATCTTTGGTCGCAAGAAGAATTGCATGATAAATAAAAACATTTAATCAAAGTCAATTTTATTGGATTAATTATGTATTATAATCATACTACAGATTGTTCAGTCATTGAATTACATAACTGTTATAATTCAATTTTTAGTCAAGGAAGTGATTACTCATATAATTTTAATTTGCGTTGTTTTCCAATAAGATTAAGCTGAAATGATTTGCCAAACCAAAGTTTTCAAAATTGACTACTTATTGAATGAGGAATTTCGTGATAATAATAATTGAATAATCATATAGAAAGCTAATTTTCATTGAATGCTTTTTCAGAACAATCAGAAATCAAATCTAGTCAAAAAAAAGGAAAAAAAAATATGCTTTCAACCCTTATTATCTGTTCTTTAGGCATTTCAGAGAAATATAACTCTGTTGCACAAAAGGCTCTCTCATATGCCAAAAGATCTTTGCTTGATATTGATTCCAAAGAAGATTCTAAAGAACCAGGAACATATCAGTTTAACAATGGTTACATACATATCTCATCCATTCTTACTTCTCCCACTACAAAAGATGTTCGTGGCTATGCCATTGATGGATCAATCCTAGCCATCGCACCATCCAATAGAAGATCTATTAAAGAATTTAATTTCCAGAACTCGACAGTTTTCGTTGATACTGAGAAGCAAGAACTATACCATATCAAAGAGACTCTTGATCAGGACAAAGAAGTTATGATATTCAATGCCGAAAAAGTTGAAGCGTTAAGCGTATTTACAAACTTCCACTTTGACATTAGTACAAGAGAATTCATTCATGAATTTGGTAAAACTAATATCAACAACAAGAAGTTCAAAATTGATGGAAACATTGGATATTCTCAGAAGTGGAATTATGAAGAAGGTCAAGATCCATACTATGATGGCCGACCAAAGGGTCAACGTCTCTTTGAAGGTGTTCCACTTGAAGCTGGCGTTGGTGGTGTTGTTGGTCTTCAAATTGAAGCAACTGTTGATTACTCCGTGTTAAAAGAGTTCTTCATTGATGCCAAGTTCACATTCAAGGCAGCCACAGGTTTCCTTTTCCAATATGTCAGTGAAAACACCGTCCCTGATCCAAAGGATAAAAATGAAAAGGACGAACACGATGAAGGTGAAAAGGACGAAGGATTGGACTTAATATCACCAATAAAACAAAAGTTCCAAACTAGTTTTGGTTTCAGCTTTTGTGGTTTTAGTTTTGGTTTCTTCCCAGGCATTAGTTTCAGACTTGGAATTGAAGAAATTAAATTCAAAATTGGCAATGATTTGAAGTTTTACAGAGGAATGTACATGACATTGTCAAAAAGTGTCACTCTTTCAAAGAACGGTATCAAACAATCTAATTGGGAATTCAATTTCCAGAAGATCAGAGAAGATCCAGATCTTAAACAACTCAAAGATATCAATTTCTACAAGGAATTATCATTAACATTCACTCCATATTTAAGAGTTGGTATCTTCGTTTCATTAGAAGTCGGAACTAAAGAATTAGCAAGTCTCGAAGTGTATGCCAAGCCTAAGATCCCAGTTGAACTTTCATTCAATGACAACAAGTGCGCATTTCCATATGTTTTCGGCAGCCTTAATTTCGGAATTGATGTTGGTTTGGAATTCTCTGGATTCAAAGTTGGAAGTTTCACAATTATTCCTGAATGGAAATTTGAATATCCAATTTATGAGTCCCCACAGTTCAAATTATGCTTGACAGGCCAAACAAAGGGTCTCAATGGCCCATCTCACTTCATGTCTGATAAATATCAAGAAGGCAAATTGTTTTCATTGGATTCAGACAAGGAACTTACATTTACTCCAACAACAGATGGCGAATTCTCATATGTTTATGAAACAGGAGATCCATTGTACTATGAATTTTCTGAACCATTCTCAGGATCAAAGGATAAATCAACCACAGTCCAAGGAAAGAAGTCCGAAAGCGCCTTCATTGGAAGAGTTATTAAAGTAGAAAACAGTAATCCACAGAATGAAGTTACAGCTAAATTCGATATCCCTGTTGATGATTCGTTCGTTGTTTTCAGATATGAATTGTCAGCAACAGCAAGTGACAAGTATAATCCAAATATGATTCTTCTCATGAGATTTGAGAACTATGTTCCAATTGTTGACAAATTCGATGAGTTTGCCAAGTACTATTTCTCAATCTTAGTATCAGAAAAGATGATTAAGAACGATAATGGTAAAATAATCATTCAGATTCCAATGAGAAGACGTTCTGGAACTGGAACTGATTCACCAATTATTGTTTATCCAATGATCTTCCAAGTCGCTCCTGCTTCAATTATGTTTGCAGAAGATATGCCATTTGACGCTTATCCATCATCAATTGCATTCCCAGGATGCTTCAGAGATAATAATGATTACGATGTTGATACAATTTCCGATAACAAATTGAATTTCAATACCAAACAAATTCAAGTTTTTGAAGGTTATTTCATTTATGTTGCCATTCCTCAAACACTTGCAGCAAATAAGTACAAAGCATATCATTATAGATCATCATTTGTTTTATCACAAAAGGAATTCCCAGTATGGATAAATACATCAACACCAAAACTTTGGCGTAATCTTGGAATAACTAATAAATATTTAACCATCAAATGTTCATACTGCAATATGTTAAACAACAGTGCAGGTTCTGGATTGAAAGCTGTCTCTGGCTCAAATGGAATATTCAAATTTGGATCAGATCAGGGAACAAAAATTTACCTTTATCCAATATGTTCTAATGATCCTTCAAAATCATTCTGTCTTTACCAGACAAGTTTCAATCGTAATTATAATAATTTGTTAAAATTCCCTAACACAGATGGATTGCGACATTTAATACAATCAAATACTGATGATGGTGCAGAGCCAACAGGATTCTATGCAAAAGTTTATAAAAGAGGCGATATGTCAGATCCAAGATGGGTATGGAAGACATGGGAAGGAAAACCAACACTTATAGAAATATCTTATGATAGTTCTGCCACAATAAAAGTTTTAAAGACTTGGTACCCAACTAAAGGCGTTAATGTCAAATTGCATGTTAATAACAAACAAGTCCCTGTTTCTAAAAAAGATACACAAGCTTTGATAAGTTTATTTAATAATATCGGATGCACAAGATTTACTGAAAATACAATAAACGATCCCAACCAAGTTTTTTATGAAAAAGATGGTTCAATGACATTTAGAGATCAAAGTGTTTGCGTAAGAGGAACACCTCAATCATATAATCCATCATATGCTTATCAATATTCAGGTTTATTATTTTCTTCTACTCCACATATAACATTTGAAGATAAAAATGAAGCAGATCCAGTTGAACCTCCACTTCCAGCTGCAACAGCAGTACCAGAAAGAACTCCAGTAAGAACACCTTTGAAGTTCCCTGATGATCCAGATTTCGAAGGTGTTGGTGGTGTTAGTGGAAGCGATGATGCAGGCCCCTCCGGAGGTAAATCTAATAAAATAGGTATAATTATTGGTGTTGTAGTTTGCATCGTTGCTATTATTGTTTTTGCTGTTTCTTGTTACATTTGCAAGAAGAAGAGAAAACAACGGGAGGAAGGAGGAGAACAAGAAGAAAACAAAGCAGGCGAGCAAGTCTAATTTTTAAATCATTTTTATAATAAACAAATTATTTTACTAACTTTATGATTCTTTTTCTTTTTTAGAATCGTGATATCCAGCATATGTAAAAGTTTAATTTTGTTAAATGAGATAAGAATCTTGGGAGACAATGATATAGCACCAAGAGAGGAAAAAACTGATGAGTTGAACCCCATCAAACTACATAATGCAGACTTATGGAGAGTTCATACTTGTAGTAGATATGTGTGGCCTTTCCTCTAAGTAGAATGATATCAAATAGTTAGAGATTTTGGTTTGCGGTTTTGGATGTTAATCTGGACGCGCATGCTTGCATCATCTAATATCTGAAGGAAGTTTAGACCTATGGATTAGTTCTAATTGAGGGCAACTTCAGATAGTCAAATAGGAAAAAAATCGCGCAGTCCAGGACTTGAACCTGCACTCTACTGCTCCGTAGGCAGTCGCCTTATCCAATTGGGCCAACGGCGCTTCACACTTCTACAAAAAATTTTATTAGCTTGATATTAACTTTGATAATGTTGCAATTACTGAGCGATAAATTCAATACATTTTTTCTATGAGCTGCATTTTTTTAAGGGTGCACACGAGAGGATCATGTAAACTTCAGAATTTAGAACCTTATTTTTAGGCATTATCTTGGCTACCTATTTAGGCTCGAAAAGCAAAAAATATCAAAAAATACAACTTGACTCCATTATGACCCTTTCATGGAAGTAGTTTTTATCCGCTAGTATTTTCCCTTTGAATCTCTTTACAATTCGAAATCAAATTCAAACCTCAGTAGAAGAAAGGAAGAATCGACTTACTACGGTTGTAATACGAATAAATACATATATTTAATTATTTTTATTTACATAATAATTGTTTGAAGCTCATATTCCAACAAATTTTTAAATAAAAACATTAAAATGTTGAAAATGTTCATATATTTTAATAGGGTTTTGGCACTTTATTGAGGAATTACTACATACATAGTCGAACTGAACTTGATATTTTGAAATTTAAATTATTTATCAAAATTAAAATTTAACTTGAAATTTATAATTATTTAGTCATATTTTGCATAATTCTAAGTAGATTTTGTAAAAAATCAAGAAAAATTTTAACGTGCTTTATTTTTTCTTTTTTATAATAATACATATTATTATATAATTAACATATTCATAATGTTTCACCCTTTCAAAAATATAATCCTCCTCCTCTCAAATAAACGTACATACGGGTGGCCTCTTTTTTCAAAAAATTAAAATTTGAAATTTTGGGCTCAAATATTAGAGATTTTTTCAACCTTCAACGATATATGTTGTCTATATCAGACCTCCTTTCTTTTTGATACTTAACATTGTTCCTAAATCTTAGCCGTTAAGGGTGTTCTGAAAATATTTTTTTTTCGAAAAAATTCGAAAAAAATTCTTAAAATTCAAAAATCCCTTAATTCCTAAGGATTTTGGAAAAAAGTTTTTACATGAACATGTGTATATTATATGAAGTATATTGATAAGGTAAAAATCAAATTTTATTGCATATTCATCGAGAAAATAAACTAACGAATCCCTCAAAATTGAGAGGGTAATCCTCCTCCTCTCAAATAAACGTACATATGGGTGCACCGTTAAACAATTGAAATAATTTAAATTAACATCGTTGCAATATCTGTATATCTTTGTATGATTACTTTTTGGTATTATGAATCAAATGTGGTTCTATTTTGGGCGAGAAATTTCCGAAAATAATAATTCACAATAAAATAAATGCAGGAACTAATATTACAGCGCAATCAAATGACCAAAATAACAAATTATTGTATTTTTTAAAATTTTATGGTTCAATCATATTAATTTCATAATCAGATAATGATTTTCATGATAGAGGTTGTAAAATATTAATTAATATCATCAGTAATAGACTTTTTACAAATTTTCCAAAAAAAATATCAAAAGATCAGCTTATTTCATGGAATATTGAACTTAACATCGTCTAACGATTATATATAAAGTGCTATATGAAGGACATAAAGATACGTGGAAATTATCGGACATAAGAATTTGCTGTTTTTTGGTAAATTCGTCTAGGATATTACTATCTATTATATTTATCAAACTAATTTTAGGAAATATTAATTTTTCAAATAATTGAATTGTAATTTTAATAATATTATATAGAATCAGATAGTAAATGTAAAATGTTTGATTTTTCTGATTTCAACACAAATTGTAGTATTTTTTCTGAGAAACGATTTAATCAAATATTAGAAAAAAAAAAAAAAAAAAAAAAAGGTAATGGGGCTTCCAGGCACTTCGTGCCCTCTAGCCCCGAAGAAATTTTTGAGAGTCGTCACTTTTCTGTCACTTTTCAGGAAAAAACATTTTTATTATTATATATAAATGAATTTTACAAAACCACCGTTACCCTTCTTTGGAAATAAGAGTAGATGTAAAGATATTCTATTGAGAGAACTTAAGAAACTACCGAATGGTCTAACATTTGTAGATTTGTTCGGTGGAAGTTTCTATATATCTCATTTGTGCCATACCGTATTCCCAGACTCAAAGATTATATGCAATGACTTCGACAACTATATGAACCGTCTCAAACATATACCAGACACAAACAAAATATTGAGTGAGTTAAAAGAAAAGATACCTATAGGTAAGATGGAACGTATACCATTAGATAAGAAAAATACTGTCAGAGAGGTTTTGAAAAAAGCAGAATATATTGACTGGGATAGTATATCTTCTAGACTTTTATATAGTGGTGCTATAAGAGTTCATGACATTGAAACACTTATGTCAAAAGTTTTATATCTTAACTATAAAAATGTTTTCAAAGAGAACATAGAAAAATATACTGAGGGTATAGAGTTTGTGAGATGTCATTGGACAGAGTTGTATGAAAAATACAAAGACAAGGAAAATGTTTTCTTTATAGTAGACCCACCGTTCTATAACACATGGGATTTTCAATACCAAGTAGACTGGACTTTGAGAGACTCTTTAGAAACTTTAGACGTTTTACATAACCATCCATGCTTTTACTTTACATCCGATAAAAGTGGTTTAGAAAGTGTCATGAAATGGCTAGAAGATATAAACGACTATGAGTTTAGATATGACAAGATAGAATATGAGAGAGGTCCTATAAACTGGAGAAAGTGTCATAACAAAGAAATTTTATTGGTAAGTAAATGTGGTTTGAAATAGGACTACTTGTTTTAGGTTTTTTCCATTGTGCCATTTACTTATTTGACGTGGCAGAAAGATATAGAGAATATGAAGATGAACCAATACCTGCAAATGTTCAGTATATGTACTCGTAAGAGATATTTTTATCTAATATTAAATGGACGCACAGAACTTAGCGAATGCACAGCAACCTGGACAACCAAACCCAGAGAATATTCCAAATGAAGTTAGAATACAAACTGCAATGGCAAACTATGGTCAAGTGCCAACAGATGTACAAATGCAAACTGCCATGTCAAATGACGCTGCGTTAGGTTTGCCACCATGGTATGCAAATATGAGATGGAAAGAGTTTTATACAAACCCTGAAGTGGGATATAAACAACTCTATGCAGATGACGCGAACACAGGAGTTGACCCAGAATATGTTTTCTACCAGAGGAGAAATAGAATGTATGAGCTCCAGTTAAAGAATGCAATGGAACTCAACAGGAAACGTAAGAGACTAGGCGGACATTAGATTTTTACATATAGTAAAATGGGTTTCTTTGGAAGAATAGGAAACTTCTTTCGAAATGTTGGAAGAGGTATATGGAATGGAATAAAATCTGTCGGAAGAGGAATTTGGAACGGTGTCAAAAATATTGGTAAAAGAGTAGGTCAGTTTGTTGGTATTATACCTAAAGACCCTGAACCAGAAGAACAAGCTCCTGTTATACAACAGCCTGAACCTGCACCACAGTCTAGTTGGCAACCAAATCCAACACCTCAACCGTATTAAAAATTATATTTTTACCGTTCGATAGTAGTTGTATATGAAACTAAGTTCTAAGTAAAACGCATGGTATAATGGAATTATTCTCTTTCTTCCATCTGTAGTAAACCATACTTGAAAGTCTGAAATACTTCCACTCGGCGGTTCATATAGCTTTGTAGGTTTTTCGTAAAAGTCATTCATCAGACATAAGAAAGAGTTTTGTGCACCAGAAAATGAAGCATGAACTATAATAGCATCTGGGTCGAAAACATTTTCATATGTTCCATTAGGGTTTTCGACTTCATAAAAGTCCGGGTGTACTGGATATTCTGCAGGCTGATTTAACATCCTCAAAAACCTATACCATGCCAAGTTGTTATATTTTGTAGAAATATAAACGTTTTCTCCAAGGTCTTCTATTTTATTGATTTTAACAGTTGCATTTTTCCTGTCATAAACAATATCGAGATGGTACTCTCCTTCGTCAATGTTATACTGGTTTGCATATTCGAGATAGATATCGTTTATTTTTTCTTGAAAAGCTTGAAGAGTTGTTTCTAAATTTACAAGCAAATTCACTTGTAAAAGTTTTCCCTGTTCAAATTTCTCATGCGTACGTTTTTCTTTGTTATAGTATCGAACGGTAAAACCGACCGTAAATGGGAAACCATGTATGGCTTCTGAAATGAACTTCATTCTACGAAAGCCAACAGCTTTTGTGACGGATGGGTCTCTTAACCATCTCAATGGGTAGTCAAAACGATAGCCTTCATGCTTGACGGTCTCTGTCTCAAACTTTTGACCGACATTAGTAAAAAGTTCATCTAATGGTTTAGTTGTAGCAACTCTTGAATTTTCTTTTTCTATTGAAAGCATATTTTATCTAGAATAAAAATGTCGAAAGAAACAGCGTCTATGAGAGAAATACAACACAACCGACAACTCATTATACAAGCTCTAAATAAGAACACAACAAACTTTTCAAACTATTCTAAGATATCTGAGTCATTGAAAGAAGGAAACTTAAAACTGACATTAAACCCATTGACAGATGAGTTTCTGTTTCAAGACAATAAGAACCATACTGTCTGTGTAAATCCAACAAAAGGAACTTTAAACGAGAAACCTATAGATGAACTTCTTTTGAAAGCAGATATTGACAACAAAGCTGACAAAGAGTATGTCATTGAAAAAGTTCAAGAAGAACATGACAGAGCAGATGCAACATATGCAACAAAAGAGGATGTTGAAAAGAAAGCTGACAAAGAGTATGTAGATGCAACAAAAGACTATATTTTCGCATGGACAGATAGAACATACCCACAAAAACATCATACACATAACATCTATGACGTAGATGAACTACCAGCAATGTTAGATGACAAAGCGGATAAGAACCATACACACGATTTCTTCGCAACTGTTGGTATAGAAAATATTGAAGGAACGGTTGAAGGAGCTGATGGAACTGGTGGGGATGTATTAAATTGGAAACCTCCTAACTTTCCACAAGGTTTAACATCGGAGGAAGACATAACGACGATGTTAAACCTTAGATGTAGAAATGTCTATGTCATGGAGGATGAAAACAATGTTAAATTCACTGCTCAAGATTTATATGATAAAAAAGCTGACAAAACATATGTTAACGATGAGTTAGCATATGTGGGTAGTGCGTTAGTGAAGAAAGCAGACAAAACAGAGCTTCAAACATTAAAGACAGAAATACTTCAAACAGTATATCCTATAGGTTCTATTTATACGTCAATGAACTCTACCAGACCAGAAGTAGTACTTGGTTTTGGAACTTGGACTCAAATAGTCGACAGGTTTTTGTATTGTGCAAACTCTTCAAAGGAAACAGGTGGAAGTAAAACGATTTCAGGTGCAAATTTACCTGCGCACAGTCACTACGTAAGTTTAAGTACATCTGAAGCAGGTTTGCATAGTCATAGATTTTGGGATTGGTCAACAATGACAAAAGGTAAAGGATATGATGTTAAAGAGGACGTTAAGTTTGCTATAAATTGTTACTGGAATAACACTGAGGTAGGAGGAAGCCATACACATCGCGTTTCAGGGTATACGCAAACAACGGGGCAGAGTAAAGACTACATGCCACCTTACATGACAGTTTACGCATGGTATAGAAATGCTTAGTCGTCATTTTCAACTTCTTTAGCATATTCGTCAGGAGTTGTCTTATATTTGTTAGGAACTGTCTTTGAAAGTATACCACCTTGAACTTTGACAAGTTTGAAACGAGGTCTGACAATAGTAGTTTTATCTTCTGCTTGCAGTCTGTACATTTTGCCATGTTTGCCTAAAACTTCATAATATTCTCTTGTATACTTTCTTCTATTTTTACGAACACGAATGTGAGTACCTGTCGGGTTCCCATTGTTGTCATAGTCAATAGTATTTTCATATGGGTCGCGTTTAGGTATTTCTATTTTTACTTTGTCACCTTTCTGAAGTTTGAAGCCTGGCATTCTTTCTTGTTTGTCTCTTTTGACTAAATTGTTAAATATATAGTCTTTCTCTAAGTTAGGGTTGTTTTTCATTTCTTCGGGGGAGTGGTTTCCCAAACCTTTTTGTTTACGGCTATTGTAAATATTTAAAACTTGTCTCATCTTTGCCATGGAGAAGTGTCTATATTTGTCATCATATGACATCTCACCTACCTCACCACCTTGTGGTTGATTTAAGTCTCTTAAGATTTTTATACAACTGTCAATGACACCAAGAGCAGAATGGTTTTGGTCGACAATGAAATATTGGTTTACATTTTTTGAACGCAGATAGTTTTTAATATCGTCTGATTTGAAAGAACTTTCATAGTCAGATGTCAGTTTTGTTGGATGGTATTTGTCAACGAATATTGTCAAAGCAGTTTTCACATCTAAAATATTTTTGGACTGTAATGGTATGGCTTCACAGTATCTTGTGTTTTGACCAACAAATATTAACCAGTATGGTGGTCCATCTTCTCTATACCTTGGAATGTTTTCCAAGATATCCATAAACCAAGCATTTGGTGTTGAACTAAAGATTTTTACCATGAGTGCTTTCTTTGTCGCTTTAGAAACATACGGGTCCTTGTTTGAATTCGTCATTTTTAACCCATAAGAAATGGGTTTATTTGGCGCATTAGCAGGAGTCGCATCTAGATTTTTACCCGCAGTGGGAACAATAGCCAGAGGTGTATTTGGAGTTGGAAGGAAGATTTTGAGTACATTAGGTATACTTAAAGAGAAAGCACAACCTATTATACAAACTGTACAGAAAGGTTGGGAGGTAGCACGAGATGCAGCAAATCTTATTCCAAATCCTGAAACAAGAGGAAAAGTTCAAGGATGGATGGACAATGTAGGAACACAAGCAGGAAACTACTATAACAAAGCAAATGACTACTATAACCAAGCAGGGCACTATATGGACCAAGGTGAAAGATTCTTTAACAGAGGATATAACCATGCACAACAGTGGGTAAACAACAACCAACCTCAACCGCCTCAAACGTGGGGAATGTAAAATTTTTTACTGAGATGAAATGAACAATACAGCATTGAGACAAATGGGCTCAAGATGGATTTGTCGACTTCCAGCAGTTACACAACCACGTGTTTGTCAAGTCCTCCCTATACCTCAAGAAGTTTTAGACCGACTTAAAAAACCTAAACAACCAGTTGAAAACAAACCAAACTAAAATTTTTTACTGAGATGAAATGAACAATACAGCATTGAGACAAATGGGCTCAAGATGGATTTGTCGACTTCCAGCAGTTAAACCACCACGTGTTTGTCAAGTTTTTCCTATACCTCAAGAAGTTTTAGACCGACATAAAAAACCTCAACAACCAGTTGAAAACAAACCAAACTAAAATTTTTTACTGAGATAAAATGACCGAAGAAGTTGAAACGGTAGATTTGACACCACAAACAAAAAGTTCAGAACCATTGTCAAAACCTGTCAAAGAACTTACAGATGAAGAGAAAAATTCAATAATAGAAAGTGCCAGGTCTGGAAATACAAACTCTAACTACAAAGTCACTTTTCATAAAAATGGAACGGCAAGTATCTCAAAAAAGAAACAGACTCTCACAAATAAAATATTGAAGTCTGAAGGAGTTTTCAAGACAACAGATGGGAAGGTATACTTCACTGACCAACAGTTCATTATAGAACATCTCATTGACTTAGAGTCGAAATATTCTAAACTTTACAACAAACACAAAAAGTTGAAAGGAAAACAAAAACAGATGGCATATGATATTTATGAAGATGTTGACGACACAACCATACCTGCAAGTGAGGTAAAGTCAAAGGAACCGAAAAGTGACGAAAAACCAATAGAAGAAGGTGAGCCAAAAACTGAAGATAAACCAAGACCAAAGTTTAGTTTGGAAACTACTAAAACAAGTCAACCTTCATTAGCTGGTATGGGTTGGCGTCAAAGGCTTATGATAGCAGGCGGTTATGTAAAGTAAAGGAAAAACATTTTTAAAACAGTATTTTTTTATTTTTATATAAAAATGCCTCCATATAGAATGGATAGAAAATCTGCTAGAATAAAAGCAGAGTTGCAAAGATATGGTTGGAAAGTTTCAAAGAAGTTTAAATATAGGAAGGGAAGACCCATAAAAGTCTATGACAAATTGTCTGGTCTTCGCTACGAGATGGACTTGGAAACAGCGCGCGCCAATTATCCAAACAGACTAGAGAGGTTAGAAGAAGAACGTCTTATGAACTTGCCTTTCAATGTTAGTGAGCCTCAAGTTGAGGGACACGACGGCTTTGCCAGATTCTACTGGAAACATGACGAACAATTGCATCCTTTGAGAAGGAAAAAAGGAAAAGGTGAAGACAAACATGCTCCCATGGAAAGAACAAGATATGCATATGAAAAGTACCGTGAGGTTAGAACTAAAATTACATCTGGTCGAACCTTTACAGTAAACTTTGACGAAGGAAAGAACAAAGAAGGCTTCATGGGAGTACTTGCTGCCATACAAGACGGAAATAAGAAAGGATACAATCTCAGACTAACCATAACAGATTTGGACGGTCATATATACTATGCACATGGCAATGTCGCAACAGCCGCACAACTTCTCGACGCTTTCAAGACTACAAAGAGAGAACAAATGTTTGACTCCGACTCAGACATCTTGAATGCAATTGAAGGAATTGCAAGTGTAAAGTTCGAATGGTACCAACATAACCCTCAAGCAGTCAGACAACATGCTGGATACTTCCCGTTCATAGTTAAGTCTAACATTGACTTGACACGGTATGGAATTTACAATTCAATAGAAAAAATTGTCAATGAACCTTGTATTCTTACATGTCTCAGGAACTCTGGTCTTGTTACAGATGAGAAGATGAAGTATCTTGAGTCATGTGTGAAAACAAGATATATTCTTAGAGGTCAACTGTCAAAAGTTGCACCGTTGGCAAATGTGAATATCCGAGTCAACATACCGACTGAGAAAGGTTCTTCACACGATGACTATGTTGTTGACTTCAAATTACCATGGTTGAAGATTGTACTTGTCCACAACCACTTCATGTTGAACGAAAGTCTTACAAACCCATTGTTCGGAAAAGGTAAGTGCAACATTGTCAGGGCTGTTAACATTCTTTTCGAGAAAGGTTTGTTGGAACCAATTCCAGATGACAAGCTGACAGAAACTTTTGTACCAAAAGACGAAACAAACTTTTCGTTGTTAGCAAGACCAAAGGTTGTTCCGGACAAAGTTATAGCACAAGAGAAGTACACTGTTCCAAAAGGAGTTGGATTGTTCGGATACCAACCTGAACCAGAAGAACTTCCAATGAGGTTGCAAGAACTTCAAGATGCTATAAACAAACTTCCATTGAGACATCCAATTGACGTCAAATTGTATTGGAGAGCATCTGAGTTAGGTCAGAAGGTTTTATATGAAACAGGCTGCTTTGACGATGTCTATGAGATAACAGGAGAGGTTTCTCAGAAGATAAGAGACTCGCTTGAATTTCCACGAACCGGACCCATAGGTTGCGACAAGTTTGACTCATATGAAAAAATATACTATGTCGACCTTAACGCTGCGTACATGAGGTTTGTTCAATATATTCCAACTGGAATTCCAAACGAAGACGGTGAGTTCCCAGGAAGGAACTATACAGTTGGAAAAGTCATGCAACAACTCTATGATATTAGGAAGGCTTCAAACTCAAAACTTGCAATGACACTGAAATTGTTGATGAATTCAACATGGGGGTATTCCATTAAAAAACCTCAAACGATGAAGAGTAAACACTATGAGAAGGTCGACAACTTTGTGGAAAGGTTCTCTCCTTTTGTTTTGAAGTACGAGTTCACCGAAGGTCAAAGTGGCTTAGTAACCACATTAAAACCTATTGTCGAACATTGGTCTTATCCTCAGTTCGCAAAAGCAGTCCTTGACGAGTACAACAAATTCTTCTCCGATGTTAAATCAAAAATTGTGGTATACTATGAGAACATCGATGCACTCATGACAAACGAAGAAGGATACAACAAACTCATTGAAATGGGTTTAGTCGGTGAAAAGATGGGCTGTTTTAAGCTAGATAAGGTATTTTCCGAAGTTCATGTTCTCTCCAAACGCAAGTACTGGGGAATACTTGAAGACGGGACAGAAATAAAACATTGCATGAAATAGTAAAACATTGCATGAAGTAAAAACGTTTTTAAAACAGTATATTTTTACATATATTAAATGCTTCAGGTTGAAAAACAAAGAACAAAAGTAGCAGATACAAAACCGTTAGACTATATCTTTACAAATGCCGGTAGAAATATTTCAGATGAAGAAATTTCATCCGGCTCCTACAGGTTTGATTATCCAATTCGTTGGCTTCAAAGTCCTTCAGATGCAAAGGCAATAGGATTTAGAAGAGTTTTGTTTTCAAATAGAACTAACGCGTTTATGTTTGCAGTATATTTTCATGGCCAGTATAAAGGCTCTGATGGTCTAATAGAAAAATTTGACGAAATGAAAATCTTTACTATTCGCTCAGACGAAAGTCTTGAAAAAACTCTAAATGACTTTCAAACTCAAATAAACAAATACTACTGGGAATTTCAAGAAAAATACCATTCTTTACTAAACGGAACGTACTATCTGAAACT